AATTTCAATGTAGGGAGAGGGACAGCTGGAGCTGGAGGAGGGATGGGAATGAGAAAAGGAAAAATTGGAGGGACGTCGGTGACATTCATGCATTATTGTGGAGGTTAGTGAAAATTTTCAAAGAGTGCTCAGTGTGTGTTATCGAAACAAACGTGTCACTGGAGAGCAAGGGACATTAACTGAAAAAAAAAAAAAAAGGTGCAATTCCCAACAACTAAAACGTTATCTGATGTGACGCTGGTGGGTCTACCAAAGCCCAGCTATAAAAATAATGGAAACAAAAAAAGGTTGGATATTTGACTGGTAAATAGTTAACTGTCAATAAATTATTCATTATCTCAAAATTGGATGGAATTAAGATGGAAGGACGATATTGATACATTTTTTTAATAGTAAAGGAGGATATTTATAGCTAATTAATAGTAAAAAAAGGACATAAGTTGAATTAAAAGTAAAAAATTTAAATTAAACTTTTGTTCAATAATAGAGGGATGACTATTGGCAGTAACCTTTTCTATGGAGATTTATTTCTTTTTGCTCGGATTTGGAATGGCACTGACCATGTTGGAGAAACATATTTTCAAACCAAAAGATTAATACTTTAATTTGACGAGTAAACATATTTAAATCACTCATTATTCTCTTAATTTTTCCAGGGGAGACTTTTATTCTTGACGTCCCTCTGGCCTATGGGAACAACTTACATCAAATTCAATGTACTGAAATAGTAGAAACAAGAGCCAAACTTGTGGTCAACACGATATTTGGTTATGTCGTTATTGGCCTTTATGTATTCAAGTCTATGGTCACCTTCTCACCTTTTTAGACCGCTTAAGCGCCTCCATCTTTGACTGAAATTGAAACTCCATTATAAGAAGAAAAGGGGGCGACATTGCTTCAAGCCAAAAAAACAAAGAACAAAAAATGGAGGAAAAATGGGTTGGAGCAATTGTATTGTTGGTTTTGGTAAGTGGATGGTATTGTTCTTGTTGTTGTGGGTGTTTGGAGGAAGAGAGAATTGCCCTCTTAAACCTCAAACATTCAATCCCTCCCCCAACCGACTATGTTCTAGCATCTTGGGGTGGGCATGGTGATTGTTGTAAATGGGATGGGATTGAATGCAATATCACAACAAAGAGAGTGTTTCAGCTTTCTCTTAATCATACTAGGGGTTGGGATGTTAAGGGTTGGTATTTGAATTCTTCTTTGTTTTCACCCTTGGAAGAGTTGAAGAGTCTTTTCTTATGGGACAATAGCATTTTTGGCTTCATGAAGAATGAAGGTCATTCCTTTCTTTCTACTCAAGCAACATTTTTAGCTAATTAATTTTGTGGGATGTATGGTAGTAAAATTTTTGGTTTAGCAACACAACTAACTATATTAATTTCTTGCACAGGTCTAGAAAAGTTGTCAAGCTTAAGCAATTTGGAGGTTCTTGATTTGAGTTATAATCGATTAAACAATAGCATCTTATCATCTTTGGCAAGTCTTTCATCCTTAAAAGTGTTAAATCTAGCTGGCAATCAGATGGAAGGAAGTCTCCATATTCCAGGTAGTTTTTTACATAACATAACCAATTAATCTAATACACTTTAAGAAATGAGGCATAATATCCAATTTAACATCATTACGTTTCTTGAGGGACTTGAAGCTACTCATTAATTACTTGTAAATGCATAAAGAATGCTTATTACACTCACAAATCCTATTTACAGGTGTTAAAAGACCACTGGGATTGAGTAATTTGGAAGTGCTTGATTTGAGTGATAATTCTTTCAACAACACAATTTTATCTTCCCTAAAAGGGCTTTCATCTCTCAGGAGTCTCGATTTGGGTTGGAACCAATTAAAAGGAATACTAAATATTAAAGGTAGATCAATTGTTTCACTTATTTTTTGTTTACATCAATCACTGTATATATATCCTTCTAATGAAATCTGTTTTTTTTTTCCCCCTTATTAGAATTTAACTGATTTCATTTTGTCTCTGTGATTGCTAGAACTAGTTGGTTTAAATGAGTTGAAGGAGCTTGATTTAAGTAACAATAATGTGGAAAGTTTTGTGGCTCCCAAAGGTACTAATGAAAGTTGAAAATATGGTTACGCTAAGGCCCTATTATTCTGTTCATTTAATTAAGAAATACCCTAAAAGAATTAGAAAACTTGATCTATTAGTTTTATACTCATAAAATTTTTGATGAAACAATAAACTCTTTTACAGGCATTAAAAGACCACTGGGCCTAAGTAATTTAGAAGTGCTTCATCTGTACAATAATTCTTTCAGTAACACAGCTTTATCTTCCTTAAGAGGGCTTCCATCTCTCAAGATTCTTGATTTGAGTGAGAACAAATTAAAAGGAGTGCTAAATGTTGAAGGTAGATTAATTTTTTCAATTATTTTTTGTTCTCATCAGTCATTTTATATCCTTCTAATGAAATCTTTGTTTCTTTCCTTTCAGTGTAATTTAATTGATTTCATTTTGTCTCTGTGACTGCCAGAATTAGTTGGTTTAAACGAGTTGAAGGAGCTAGATTTAAGCTACAATAATGTGGAAAGTTTTGTGGCTCCAAAAGGTACTGATAAAAGTAGAATGTATGGTTATGATGAGGCCTTGTCATTTTATTCCTTTCATCAACAAATACCCTAAAAGAATTAGAAACTTGATCCATTAGTTTCATACTCATAAATTTTTTGATGAAACAATAAACTTTGTTGCAGCTATTAAAAGATCACTGGGCCTAAGTAATTTGAAAGTGCTTCATCTGCAAAGAAATTCTTTCAGTAACAAAACTTTATCTTCCCTAAGAGGGCTTTCATCTCTCAAGAGTCTTGATTTGAGTAGGAACGAATTAAAAGGAATACTAAATATTAAAGGTAGATCAATTATTTCACTTGTTTTCTATTTTCATCTGTCTTTGAATATCCTTCTAATTAAATGCTACTTCTTTTCCCTCGTCTTTATTTGATTGTTTGTATTCTGTCTCCACCAAAATTAGTTGCTCTAAACAATTTGAAGGAGTTGGATTTAAGCTATAATGAAATGGAAGGTTTTGTGGCTCCTGAAGGTACACATGATCAAACTAGAAAGTTGGTTATAATGAGGCCTAGTCATCTTGCTCCTTTGATCAACAAATCCATAAAAGAATTAGAATACTTAACCCACTAGTTTCATACTAGTAAAATTTTTTATTGAACTATAATTTACTTATGCATCAATAAAGAAAAATTTTGCTTAAGCTCAAGCAAAACTTTTAAGGCCGTCTTTACATTGGCTACTGTGGAGCATATGTCCTTTTCAAAAGATCACAAGTTTGCTACAAGTTCACATCTCTGCAACTTTAAAGTTTATCTTGATCCCTTTTTTTGTTTGTAGATGCGAGAAGTTCAAGTCTGCTAGAAGTCCTACATCTAAGCGAGAACAACAACACTTGTGGAAGTTGTCTAGTACAGTCAATCAGGGCATTCCCTTTAATTAAGACCCTTGATCTTAGTTTCAGTACGTCTATAGAACCAGTGACTACTATAGGTAAGTAATGCAGACAAGCAAAA